TGTGTGTGTGTGTAAATCTCACTTATAATCAGTTTGTATTGATCTTTTCGTAATCTGCCAATTCCTGCAAAATAATATATACTTTATGTTGTCCAACATTTTTGTATCTATTGATTATTAATAAAATTTCGCTTTGATAGCTTTTCGATGACTTTACAATATTCATGCCTAACTCTTTGAATGATCATTTATTCCACATGGTATGGAAAAGGTACACATTTAGAAGATATTTATGTGACATCAGATTTTCGAAGGAAATTGTAAATTGAAAATAAAAAATCGTCTTTCAATTTCTTGTTTATGTTGTTTTATTACAATACCATTATTAAATTTTATTGCATTGACAAATGTTACATTTTTTGTGATTGTGTTCCTAGCTTAGTTTTATTTCAATATGATATTCTTATATATAATATATATTTTATCCTTCGAAGTTAGAGAAATATATATCTTTCCATACTTCTAATTAATTCTATAACACTGCACTGTTTTTAATGTATAAACTATAGCAAATCTATATTGATAAGAATTCACCCTTCATTTTTATCGATAAATAGGCATTTGTTGATAAAATAAGGTGTAAATATATACAAAAACATATATAAGGTGTCTGCACGAGATCACTCGTCATGAGCAGGTAGAACGAACTAAGTCAAAAAATCTTTTATTCATTTATAATTTTCTCAATGGTTAACGAGATATTAATTTTTAAAGATAGTCAAATATTATTTTTTAATAATTTTTTATTTGAGTACTATCAACTTTACAGAAAAATAGCAAGAGACAAAAATTATTTATTTCCTTCTCTAAGAAATTTTTTCAAAATTTTTTATTAATTCTTTAATACCGCATTTTTCTTATTGGCAATTATTTTCATTAATATGAAAAAATATGGTATTAAAAAATTCTGAAAAAATTCTCAGACTTCTATAAGAAGAAAATAAACAATTTTTGTCACTTGCTTTTCTGTGTGTCTTCCAACAAGCAACACAAGTAACACGGTGTGACACAATCATCATTCAAGGATCATTACATCCTTATTGTTTGTCATAAAATTGATAGCACTTGAATAAAAAATTATTGAAAACCATTCAGCGATTTTTAGTAATGAATATCTAGTTAACAATTGCGAAAATTGTAAAATAATAAAGAATTTTTCGACCAATTCGCACTACCTGCTCATGATGAGCAATCCTGTAGATTATGGATACCCTATATATAAGTATACGTGTCACATTGCACGCACCACGCGCGCACGCACGCATTATATATGTATGTGTGTGTGTGTGTGTGTGTGTGTGTGTGTGTGTGTGTGTGTGTGTGTGTGTGTG